AAACTACGTACGTTTAAAATTTATTACAAATTCATTCATTAAAATGCACGAATGTGTAATAAATTTTCAACTCAAGTTAGCTACTTTGAAAAGAACTGAGCCACAGGTTCCTACAACTTAATAATCAAATCTTTGGACCTTTTACAAAAATTTCCGTAGGTCGCTCCTCTGGTACATTTTTCGACTGTAAACGTTAATTTATAATATATATATATATATATATATATATATATATATATATATATATATATATATATATATATATATATATATATGTATATTAACGTTTTACTAATTACTAATTCTTCATTATTCAAATTTTTAATATGAAACTAGTTTAACCTATTAATAATTTTTCTTTAAACAAAGAAAGAAAAATACCTGCAGTCTTATAACAGTCTTATAAAAGTTAGTTTATAAAAATGTCTGCAGTAAATGATCTCAAGCAATGAATAAAAAATATAATTTTATTTTAGCTCAATTTACAATTTATTACAATTTATCATTTTCTTTTAGCTAAAAAAAATAATTCATATTATTTTCATTTAGTAAAAAACCATTTAAAAAAAAAAAAATTTACAACATTAAGATATATCTACCAAGTTCCTTCGTTTCACATTTCTTACATCCTTTAGTGTCTCTGTAATAGAAAGTGAGAAAAACCATTTATACTGTCGCTTTTAAGACAACTTGCACAGCAACAAGACAGCTTTTAAGCTAGTTATCAATGAAGCTCATATGAGTGTTAGTAGTTAGCAATGGAGCATATATTGATTTTAAAATGTTAATGACAAGAGTATTCCCCCAAAAATGTTTTTCTGCGAAACAGAGCAGCTAGATTAGATTTATAATTTTTAATTATTAGCAAAACTTTTTTTACAAGGTCAAAAGTTGCATCCTCAGCTGAAACAAAAAACTTTTTCATCCAAGGCATAGTAAGGAGTATCCCAAACAATGCAAGCACTCACATTTTTTTAAGGCAGTTTTACTACAAAATGCCCTTCTCAGAACTGCCTGCAAACTTTTACATTTTACTGTTCCAACAGTGAGGAAATGTTTAAACTCACTATAATGCTTCATAAAAATAAAACAAGTGTGAAAAAGAATATGAAACCGATTTTCACAATATCTAGGAATAATACTTCGTGGTAGATCATTTTCATCTAAAAGGTTTACAAATCAATTTTGGATTACCTTTAACGTCTATAAACCTCATTTTGTTTATAGCTAAAACAACTTTAACTGCCATTTCTAAATAACTAGCAACTCTCACTCTCGAGAGACTGTCCGACATGAAACTGCAATTGTGTCAAGAGGGTGCATATGGCAGTTTAACTCATTCAAATTCTTGCCCCAGGTTGCACAAACTTTGTTTATAGTAAGATGGTTGACTGCAACTCTGTCTGACATTCTCTTAAATATATTTTTAACAATCGAGTCATCAAAGCTACTTTGGTAAAAGTCTGAGTAAACAAATGCCATATAATCAATTGAAGTGCATATATGGCTTTCATAATCAATGAAAGTCATATATGCACTTCATATATGCTGTTTGATTGATCTAGAGCAATAAAAAGACGTTTATCTTTAGATGTTAAGTTAATGTTAATAATGTGGACACCTTCTTGTGTTGTAGCATCAAAACCTAAGAGTAAAATTATTATTATGCATAGCCCATTCTGCTGCTTGCAAATTTGAAATACTTCCAAGTTCACGAGCCATTTGCTCAACAGTACTTTGACAAGGAGTATTATTAAAAATAACACCCATATAACTCCCTATTTTGCTCATAAGATATGGAATGTTACCTGTTGGTACATTACATAACAACATATTATAAATTATCATTCTTATTTGTAATGAATATGTTTCAATCTGGAGCAAATCATTCTCAAAACTAGCAATTGCCCTGATACTTGTCAAAACAGCGGCATTATACTTAGTTTTGAGTTACCTTAACTTACGCTTTTTATTTAATTTCTAAGCTATTTTTTCAGCTTTAAAGTGATGAATCTGCTCATTATAATTTTTTTCTAGTGTGTGTTTTTTTCAGATCTCGTATTTCTGCCCTTAATACTTTATTTATTTTTTCTTTTTGTTTAACTTTTAGTCTTACAACAAGTAGTTGATTTGGCATGCTGTTTAATTCAGCTTTTAATAGTGCTATCTTGCTTCGACATTTTTAGTAAGAGTTAGCTAACTGAGAAGACAAGTAAAATAACCTTTTAGTTTTTAGTTCCTTTGATATATATTTGATGTCCAAACAATAAGAAATGTTTACATAATTGGAGTATAATAGTAAGATGTCTGAGTATGCTTTTTTTTCAATTAAATTTGTCAGGTAGTAAGAAAAAAGATTTTCAAAGTTGAGAGAATTTTCAAAGATAGAGAATATATTAGGAAAATGAACCAGCAACCCTTTGATATACTAGATGTCCAAAAAAACAGCAATCCTTTGATATACTAGATGTCCAAAAAACATGCAAATTTTTAATAACAATCAAATTCATAATAAATAAAATTTTACATCAAAGAAATCCATGCAAAATTAGGGTTTTATAATTCTAATATTCAGAAAATATCTATGTTGATACATATTTCTAAAAAATAACAGAGCGAAACAAGTTACCATGCAACTTTTTAACAAACTCGAAAAGTGTCACAGAATTTGGCCGAAAAAACGGTTCTGTAAAATTCGGATTTACGCTTACCTAGAATAAAACAAATTGAATTAACTAAAAAGGGCTTCAGCTCCCTCTAATATTTAAAAACAAAAAACAAAACAAAACTCGCTAAAAACTTGTCCTAAAAAAGAATAAAAACAAAACTGAAACACTATACTTAAAAAAAAATTTACTAAAAAAAACACTTCTAAAAAAAACGCTCGACAGACTAAAACAATTAGAAAAAAACAATACAACAAATAAGCGTTTATTTATTAAAACTACTATTAAAAGAACACCGGTTAGTACGCGTGAGAAGACATAAATAAACAAAACAAAAATGATTCAATAATAGTATTATTGAATCAATAATAATAGTATTATTGAATCATTTTTGTTTTGTTTATTTATGTCGTATGTCTAACATGTTGTTGCTTGCATATTGCAGACTCAAACAATATGCAAGCTTGCATATTGCAGACTCAAGCCATATGCAAGCAACAAAAAGTTTGACATACGACATAAATAAACAAAACAAAACTTATGAGTATTATTAATACTCACAAATAAACAAAACTTGTGAGTATTATTAATACTCACAAATAAAAACGCATCATTTTTTTTTTTATTCAATTCCTTTTTAATTCCTTTCCATTTTCAAATGTTTTTTTTCTTTTAACTTTGGTTTTTTGTCGTTTTGTCGTTTCTTTTGTTAATTTTGTTTGATTTGTTTTTTAGCTTTTTTTTTAGTTTTTTCTTTTTTTCTTTTCTTTATTCTCTATATTTTTATTTTTCTTATTTTATTCTTTTTTCTTTATCTTTCTTTTTTAAAGACAATTTTTTAAAGACAATAAAATTTTTATTTTTCTTTGTTTAATGCATTAAACTTAGATAAAAAAGAAACAAAATATATAAAGGAATTCTTAAACTAAAGATAATGTTCCTTCATTGCCTTAAGTCATTTTAGGAAAAAACTTCTGTTCAAACAAAATGAAAAACTTTAGTTTAAATAATATTTAAATAAAAGTTTTTAATTTTGTTTGAACAAAAGTTTTAAGAATTCCTTTAAATATTTTGTTACTTTTTTATCTAAGTTTAATGCATACTTACTTCATATCTAGTAAAAAATAAGCAATAAAAGATTAAAGGAAAAACAAATATACATAAAAAAACATTTTTTTTCATAAATTACAGGTACTCTAAAATTACAGGTACTCTAAAAATGACAGTTTTATTTCAGTTAGATTTTTTCAACATGTAGAACTTTTTTTTGAGATAAGAACAATCTTTAACTTATCTTTAACTTCTCTAGCTTCTTCAACTTTTCAACTTTATTAGCTTCTTCAAACTTATATTCTTTAAGTTATTCTCTTATCCATGTACTTATTGATTAAATATATTTTTTAATAGAATGAAAATTAGTAAGATAATTATTTGAAAAAATGTTTTTATTTCATGAATAAATAAACACTGCATTGCAAAACTTGAGTAAATAAGTTAATGTTAAATAAAATTTTGTGTTTTATTTAATTTGCATGGTTTTATTGTGTTTTTTTTTCATTTTACTTGCTACCTTCTTTTCATTTTTATTTTCTGTTAATAAAATTTTTTTTACTATTCTCAACTTAATCTATATTCCTTGATAAATTTTAAAATTCATACAATAATCTCTTAGCCTTTAAATGTTATAACTATATAAAGTTTGTACATTTTAAGAAATCTACAAATTTTATAGGGTAAAATAATAAAATCTTATGGCATTTTGAATGCCATAAAATTTTATTATGAATTTTAAAATTATTTGATAAATATAAATTTAGTTAAGAATAGCAAAAAAATATTTATCAATTTGTTTAATCTCATGTTTGGAGCAGTTGTTTTCAAAATTTTAGGGCTTTTTTGTTACCAGGCTCTAATCAATCCAACTTTTTGCAAAGCATCTTTATTGATATAAGTATAAACATATGTTTGGAGTTTGCTCCATATCTAAAAGTTAGCTGTCCTAAATATGAGATGTCAAAATCTTAAAGATGTACTAATTTACCATTAATTATATCAACAGTATATTTAGTTCTTTTAATTATCCTAATTGTATCTCACTGAATTATGAATAATTAATTTGAAATATAAAAATTGTAAGGCGTTGTAAGCATTAATATAGTTTCTAATCAAAGTATCATTTACTTATTAGATTTAAATCTGAATGAACATTATTAGTAATAATTATGTTGTGTAAGCAAGTGTTATGTTCTGTTGCTTCTGTTTTTTTTTAAAGTATTAACTGTTGTTTTAAGAAAAAAAAAATCTTTTGTTCATTCTTTTTTTATTTATATTTAGGTTAACAATAGTCAGCCAAGTTCATTATTAGTTGATGAAAATTGTTATAATGTGCCTTGTAAAGAGGTAATAATAAATTTTTGTTAACTCAAAACTATTTATAAATTTTGCAACAAACGCTTTAGTTAAAGTACAAAAGTTTTTTAAATTTTAAAGTTCCTGTTAAAGTGTTTTTTGTTTTTGATAATTTTAGTTTTTTTTTTCAAGTTCAAAACTTTTTAACATTTTAGAAAAAGTGCTGATACCAGTTTTTAAAAAATATAAGAGTCTGCCATATTGAAAATAAATGTAGTAATAATATCTGCAACAATATACATTGATGAAGAGAGCTTAAAAATGCTTGAGCAATCATTTTAAATTTTCAAATTAGCCTTAAAAGAATTTAAGGACCTTGAGTCCTTAAATTCTGGTGACAGATCTGGCGACAGATCTGGTGTCCAACAATAAAATATAGTTTTCAATTATTCTGTTGTTGAAAAAGTTATTTCTTGAAGAACATTTATATTTTGCATTTTTAATTTGATGGTGGTCGATTGCTTGTTATTGAAGGAACAAGTTTTTGATTTTTTAAATAACTCACGATTTGTAAACCATTTAATATTTTATAATGATATATTAATATTTCCTAAGATCTCCTAAGATCTGCAATTTTTTAAGTCATCAAATTTAATCCTAAAGTCTTTCTTCATAAGGTAGACTTTTTAGTTCATAATAAGTTATAGGCTTTTTTTTGTGGATTTTTGTGGACTTTTTTTAAGTTCTAGTTAATCAATTTGGTACTGAAAAAAATATAATATGTTGGTAGTATATAACAAGTTGTTGGTAAAATATAATGAGTTGGTACTGACAAAAATATAACATTACCTATGTTAGAAATTAGGTGAAAGTTCCTATTATTAAATCAAACACTTTTTCTGATTTAACAGTGGAGGAGGCTACCTTATTGTGGTTACAACCCTCTCTTAACTCTTTAACTCTGACACAAACCTTTATGAATAAGACCACTGCGCTGAGAAACAAGTTTGTTCATTTAAGTTTCAAGTTAAAAATTGAAGTTCTATTGAAACTTCAGTTACTTCCTTCCATTCTCCAGCTTTCTTTTTCCCATTTCTCATTGACATTTTTAATTGTATAAAATATTACTTTTAAATCTAAAATAAATCAATACATATAGGTTTAACGTGAATTTTTTTTTCTATTATAGTTTTAAATTATGTTTAAAAATCTTTTTCAAAATAAATTGAAAAATTCTTGTTATAAGTTGATAAATAACATTATATAAAATATTTTTTAAATAAATTTATACTAATTTTCAATACCATTAAAACATTTTTAAAAAATTAAAAAAAAAATTAAAAAAAAAAATTTATGACTAATTTAAAAAAAACAAAAAAAAAACCCAAATTTACTTGATAAAATCCAAAATTACTTAAAAAAATTAATTACCTCAAAGCTATTATATATGCATTTGAGTAGGCACATTTGGCATTTCGGTTGGCAAATTTTCAGGTATAGTTGGGAAATGTCAAATATTGAGGTCCTTTTTTTTTTGTCTCTAGTTAGCAAAAAACACATACAACACCCCCCCTCCCTCATGAAAGACCTCTTCGGGATGGCCCTGAGTGCAACAAAATTGCATCTAGTTTCCTCATTATTCAGTGACCATTTTTTCAAAATAAATAACATAATTATACTTTAAATTTTAAAGACAATATAATTATTTATTGTTTATCTAGCAGTTCAACTATATATATTTTTTAGATAATAAAGTTTAAAATTTATTATTAAATTTAAATGTTTAACTGTGTTTTAAATAGATTTTATTATCAAAATTGTATACATAATATTTTGAATATTACAGACTATTTTGAACATTAATTTTGTTTTTAGTGTATGACAGTGTGCACACTTTCGCTCCCTTTTAATCTGACAAAATGCCTTTCAATTTGTACAGTAAGTTTAACAAATTTGTTAAAATATTTTTTTGTGTTTTAAAATATGCATTAAAATTTAAAATATTTTTTTTCCAGACAACATCTTGCAAATTTGGATGTCTGTTCTACAGTTATATTACAGAAAATACTAGAGGTATTTTAAAAAACACATTAGTACATTAGTTATTTATATTGGGAGTATTCAAAAAAAAAAAAGAGTTTAAAATTTTTAGAATTTAACAAACCAAAACCTCTCACAAAATTTGAACACTCTTAAGAAGAATCACTTTTAAGAAGAGAAAGAACCTCAAAATGACTAAAAACAACTTATTTCAAGGTTCTTAAGGTGAAGACTAACAAACATTTTTCATAATTTTTTTTTCCTGGGCTAATAAATATCTAAATTTAACTAAATTAATATTTGAATTTTTGATTAAAATGTTATGGTTTTTTTTTCTCCCCTAAAAGAAGTACAATTTAAATTTTTACATTTTAAACTAGGTGAAAAATTGTTTATCATGCAGTACAGTGTTTTTATTTAGATTCATAGTAAGGTTAACAAATGTATATATTCAGAATCAAATTAAAATTACTCATTTCATTAATGTTTAATATAATATAACTAATGTTTTACAATAAAATACTATGTTCTTTAGTTCTCATAAGAATTTTACTTATCAAAAACAATTTATTTTTAACAACATTTTCTAGAAACAATGCTGGTTTAAACCGGGCGCATAGGCGTAGCTGTGTCCAGCCCCCCAAAAAATAGGGTCTCAGCAGGGGTCCCTAATTTTTTAAATATGTATGCCACTCTAGATATAGATTTTTTAGGGTTTATATATCCAGTTTTTAGTGGGTAAAATAATATGACTGCCCAGCAAACATCTCCAATTGGGGCTCATATGGGTTTGCCCAAGTGGGTTCTATGTAATCTTTATGTATGGGCCAAAATGGGCCCCATGTGGGCTAACCCTTGAATACAATTGTATTCAAGGGCTAGTCCACATGGGGTACATTTTGGGACCATATTTGTAGTTAAAAAAGCTAAAATTTTCTATTCAAGGGCTAGCCCATATGAGGCTCATTTAGGGCCCATATATGAAGTTAAAAAGCATTAAATTCCATCTTATTTTCTAAATTTAAATGCCATCATATCTTGCGTGCGATGGTATGAGGTAATCCGCTAGGCAACTAGCTGGAAGAGTATAAGTCACAATACCAAACTTTCTTTTTTCTCAAAAGTAATTACGTCTCAAAGCTTTTCTCAAATTTTAAACTAAATTCAAACTAACTCTTTTTTGAAAAATCTTTTTTTTATTTAAAGTCAAATCATTTTAAAGACTCTGTAATAGTGCTATCAATTTCATGTATTAGTGGTAGTAAAAGAGTTCTAAATTGTATTTAAAAATTATTTTTTTTTATGTATAAAAAGTTTTTGAAAGTGAATACACTGTTAAAGTTTTTATAAACCCACAAGCAAAAATGTGTATAAAAGTACAGGTCTTGAAGAGGTCCTTTAATACAAATTCTTAATTAAACTTATTTAAAATAAGGTTTAAATTTACTTATTTGTATAAGACTATTACTTTTACTATTTTATTGTTTAAATACTGTGGTATATTTATAAATATTATTTTTTCTGTTTGATTTTCTGTTTTACTTCTATTAAGCTAGACTTATGTGACATATTTATGACAACATATTAAATTATATGTACCTAATTTAAAAATAAATAAATAATTATTTAAAACATTATAAATAATTTAAATAAATAAAAAAGTGGGACTCATGTGGGTCCCACATATGCAGCCCATATGGGCTGCCCACTTGGGCGGTATGTGGGCAAGCCATTTGGGCCCCATAAAGCTGCCCACTTGGGCTCAAAATGACTTGCTGGCTGGGTGAGCAGAATAAGAAGGTTTAAATGTTAATCTGTTTTTATAGTTAACCTTATCTTTCAGATGTGATAGATTATGTAAATAAAATGTTTTTTTAGTTGGCTTTTTAACTAGTTTTTTTGTCATAAGTATATTTTTACTTTTACATTTTAATGTAATATACATAGTTTTTTTTTAATTGATAAAAAAGCTGAAAGAGTATATCTTATGTTATGAACATAATATAAGTAATGTTATGAGCTTAAATAAAATCTTTTGCTGCTTAAGAAACTTTAAAATTTTTTAAAGTTTCTTAAGTTAAACAAAAAAAAAAAAATAATAATAACTGCACAGTTATTATTTTTATTTAGTTTTGATTTTTCAATATTTCAATCTGACCAAGATGTGTGAAGGGATTAAATGCAAAGCAACTGGATTTCTATTAAAAAAATTCTGAGTCAAAATGTTGCAGATAGAAAAATACAAGAAAGTGACAAAAGCATATTTAAGGTATTGCTCTCTGAATTATTTGTTGCTGGTTTCTTCAATGTCTGTCTAATTGCTGTGCTTTGTTAAGTAACAGACAGCAGATAATTTGTTATGTAAGTGTTGCAGGAAAGTTGCCATCCATATTCTGAGTCGGAAAAGGTGATCAGCAGTAGCTATTTCAAATTCTACATGCAAAAGTCTTGAGACCCTAGAAAAATTCTTGAGACCCTAGAATTTATTTGGGCTGAATAAAGATAAATTTTTTTAAAGAAAATCAAAACTTTTTATGTTGCTTTTATAAAGGAGCTCTGGCACATAATCATTTTACGATTTGATGTTACTAGCATTGAAATTCCGAATAAATTGTGTGATTGTTTCAATCGTTTTTGGAATATGTGACATCAAATTAAGATTTTCTGTGCTGGAAGATTCTCAAACATTATTCCTAAGCATTATTCCTAAGCATTACAAACATGAAATTACCAGAAAGAAGATGTGCAAAGTAGGAGTTGGTAAGAATACAGAGAATAAGGTGGTTATAAGTGACATTAACTTTTTTTAGAATTAAACATTTACTTTCTATCATAGACAAGTTAAAAATGCGCTTGATATAAAGACTTTCTGCTTACAAGTTTTCAAAAAGAAAGTTTTTTTTTATACTAGTTTTCTGTGTATGACTGTTCCTGTCATTGTTGCTGTTGCCAAATCCTTGTGTACTGTTTATCTTTCAGACTTAGATACACAAGACTATGATGAAGTTGTCCAGTTTTCCTAGTTCATGGCATATGAGAAGAATATATCAGCACTAGCATGTCTACAAGAAATTCATAGGAATAAGTTAAAATTAGTTTATCCAAATGCTAGCATTGCATATCAGATTTTTCTAACCCTTTCCATTACCAATTAAAGTGCAGAGCAGCATTTTTAAAGATGACAAGAGTAAAGAAAGATATCTGTTTCCGAATGTTAAATGGTTATATAAATTCTATTTATTTAATGACAATTTAAAGAACTCTGTTACAAAATATCAATTTTAAAGATATCATCATTGACTTTGCCAGTAAGGAATGGGGCCCCTAAATAAATTTTGTCCCTAGCTCCCAAGAACCTTAATCTGGCCTTGTCCAGAAGTATTAACCTTTTGTATAATTTATCTAAAATATTATGCAATTTTGTGTGTGTTTTGTTTCTATGTTAGGTAGAAAAGAACTGACAGTTTTTTTTGCATGAACTGGTAGAGCTTCTGTGGAGCTCTTGAAAGCAAAACAAACTTTGTTCACATAAAGCAGTTAGTTCAATTTTTTTATTATTTTATTATCTTTGTTATTATAACAATCAACATCTTGCTGCATCATATCGACAACTCTCTTTTCAAATGGTCATTAGTTGTATTACAACATAAATCTTTTTTCATATGATAACAACTTATCAATACTATTTCAAAATATGAATATTATATATATATATATATATATATATATATATATATATATATATATATATATATATATATATAAATATATATATATATGGAATATATATATATATATATATATATATATATATATATATATATATATATATATATATATATATATATATATATATATATATACATATATATATATATATATATATATATATATATATATATATATATATATATATATTCTATATATCATTCTTGTATATATATATATTCATATATATATATATATATATATATATATATATATATATATATATATATATATATATATATATATATATATATATATATATTCTATATATCACTCCATGGTTTTCTCCTTCTTGTGCGGCTGCTATATCCAATCGTAATCATTTTTTTCATGTTTTTCAAAAGAACAACTCTCTTGAGAACAAATGGCTATTTATTATTGCAAGAAATCGATGTAAAAAGGTGCTTTCTAATGCTAAACTCCATTATTCTCAGTTCACTAAATCTCGCATCTTATCGCAGAAGTTAGGCTCTAAAGACTTTTGGAAAATCTTCAACAGCATTGTTAACAAGGGTAGATCTAACATTCCATCTCTCATTCATGGGACTGATCTTATTACCTCTCCCAAGGATAAGGCAGAACTAATTGCAAAGAACTTTTCTTCTAATTCCACTCTTGAATCTTATGGACATTCTCTTCCTTCCATTCCAGTCAAACAGGTTGACCCATTGTTAGACATTCAAATCACTCCGGCTTCTGTTGCTAAAGTCATATCTCAATTAAACTCGTCTACAGCTTGTGGTCCAGACAACATTCCTGTCACAGTCTTGCAGAATTGTTCTCCAGAACTTTCTTCAATTCTCTCTAAACTATTTAACAAGTGTTTGACTGAGTCTTGTTTTCCTGCTTGTTGGAAAATGGCATCTGTGGTTCCAATATTCAAAAACTCTGGAGAAAATTCTGACCCCTCCAATTATCGTCCGATCAGTCTTCTTTCTGTTATTAGCAAGGTCTTTGAGTCTTTGATCAACAAATTCCTCACATCTCATCTTGAGTCAAATAAACTGCTGTCAGATAATCAATACGGTTTTCGGTCCTCTCGCTCTACGGCCGACTTGCTAACTGCTGTAACTGAAAGATTTTATTGTGCATTAGATGAAGGCGGTGAGGCTAGGGCTATTGCTCTCGACATATCTAAAGCTTTCGACAAAGTTTGGTATGCTGGTCTTCTCCATAAGCTTGCTTCATATGGTGTTTCTGGGAAAGTTTTTGAGATTATCAAATCATTTCTTTCTAACCAGTTTATTAAAGTCATCCTTGAAGGCCAACACTCTTCTTTATTTCCAGTAACTTCTGGGGTTCCCCAAGGTTCCATCCTGGGCCCTGTTTTGTTTCTTATCTACATAAACAATCTTCCTGACAACCTTTCATCTAAAGTAGCTCTTTTTGCTAATGACTCAACTTTATACTCCTGACCTTTCTTACTACTGACCTTTCATGGAAACCATATATACAATCGATTGCTAAATTAGCTTCTGCTAAGGTTGCTTCTCTTTATCGTGCTCACCATTTTCTTACTTCTGATTCCATTCTCTACCTCTACAAATCTCTTATTTGTCCCTGTATGGAATACTGTTGTCATATTTGGGCTGGTTCTTCTAACGATTCACTTTCTCTTCTTGACAAGGTCCAAAAACGCATTGTAAATGTTGTTAGACCTGGACTATCTGCTAAGCTTGAACCTCTTTTCCATCCTCGTAAAGTTGCATCTCTTTCTCTTTTCTACAGATACTATCATGGTCACTGCTCAAAGGAGTTATCATCTCTAGTTCCATCAACTAAAATTCATTCTCGTTTTACTCGTCATTCAGCTAAGTCTCATTCGTTTACTGTATCTGTCCCTGCATGCTCTAAAAACTTTTATTCATCTAGTTTTTTTCCCCGCACTTCAATCCTTTGGTACTCTCTCCCATCTTCATGTTTTCCTGACTCATACAACCTTCAACTTTTCAAGTCTTCTGTCAACCGTTTCCTTGCTCTATAACTCTGTTCTTTTTTTTCCTAGTAACTCCCAACTTAATAGTGGTTGCTTGCAGCCTTGTTGGGAGTGAATGCAAATAAAAAAAAATATATATATATATATATTCTATATATATATATATATATATATATATATATATATATATATATATATATATATATATATATATATATATATATATATATATATATATATATATATATATATATATATATATATATATATATATATATACTCTTGCATGGTAGTCAAAAAGAGTTTCTCATAAACTGTAGTTTTAAAGAGCGTGTTAATAAACCAGACCAGAAAATGTTTAAAAACTTAAATTTTTTTTTTTTTTAATTGATAGACTGCCTGCCCAAACCAAATCCTCAGTCGATGTAGCAGCACTCCCTTGCGAGTCAGGCTATTTGTCAGTCGTTGTAGCAGCACTCCCTTGTGAGTCAGGCTATTTGTCAGTCGATGTAGCAGCATTCCCTTGTGAGTCAGGCTATTTGTCCGTCGATGTAGCAGCACTCCGTTGCGAGTCAGGCTATTTGTCAGTCGATGTAGCAGTACACCCTTGCGAGTTAGGCTATTTGTATGTCGATGTAGCAGCACTCCGTTGCGAATCAGGCTATAAGATAGTCGATGTAGCAACATTTACGCATTTTTTAAAAATGTTTTTTAATAAAACAAAAACAAAAACACCACTAATTAAAAAAAACTTTCTAGTCGTTATAATTGCGGTTTTTTAAAATTTTTTTAAAAAATAATAAAATTTAATGTACTTCCGCATTAATTTAATTGCTTTGACATTTCGACGACAATCTAAAACAGCTTAAGGGACGAGGTAATTAAAATTGTAGTCGAAAGAGACATTTTTTACATTAAAAGACTCTTTCGACTACACTATAAGTATATATATATATATATATATATATATATATATATATATATATATATATATATATATATATATATATATATATATATATATATATATATTTTGATATCGCTTTTATTTAGTAATTTTTTTATTTAGAGTAATTTTAAAAAATAAAAACTTGATAGGGCATCTGTTAAGCCATAAATAGGAGCTAGATGATGGCAATATACGTTTATTCTTTGGTAGAATTGTTGAACAAAAGGTAGCAACAAAAAAAAATCTGTTACATACACAATAGGATATTGGAAAGTCAATGAAGATGAAGCTGAAGATATTGACATAAGCCAGGAAGGAGTTATAGCAGATTTAATACTTAAAGACCTGAGTTCATTTAAAAATTACTATAATATATTAGGCATTATTATCTTTTATTTCTTTTATGCTGACTATTTTGTATACATTTTTTTTTACTCCTTTTAATTTTTAAAAATTTTTATATTAACCAAGATCAGACACAAGGTTATTTTACATTTCAGATTCTGTACTTGGCATTGTAAAAACTCTAAGTATAAGTATGTTCAATCATATGTCAAATAAGAATGGTTTGCTAAAAAATTGTGGTAATTAAAACTTAGGAACAAAACCATCTAAAAAAGATAGACCCTCCTTGTCTCAAATGTTAATTTAATGAGTTAATAAGTTTTTAAGTTCATTATCAAAAACTAAACATAAATTCACATTTTTTGATGCTCAAAGGTTATGACCACGTGAAATAACTTTAAAAATATCAAGAATTATTGGGTCTGTTGATGGTTTTAAATGTAGTATAAAAAAATAAGTTAAAGTATTTTAATAACTTAGTCCCATCACATTTTTATGTGGGGGTACAAACTTTTTGGGGTATTTTTGTTCCCAGGCTCCAATCACTTCAATTTTTTATACAAATTTTTTTCACATTCTCATTAAATCTAAGCATGAACAAACTTAAATTTTGATTAATTATAGTAATTTTTTTAATAAAATGACTTGAATCGAATTTGACCCACTTTTAAAATGGGCTTAAACAACCCCTCTCCCTTTTTTTTATTTATTTTTATTTTGATTTAGTTAATATAACTGGGATATAATAAACAGTTTTTATCATATATGTGACGGTAAATTGTTAATATTTTATGAACTATGTTATAAAGTCCACTTTTTGAAGTTATTTTCTTGTATATCTTTGTTAAGATGTCCACTTTTTTTTCAATACCTTTAAAATTGAATATCTTTTTTTATAGTTGACCCCAGATAATAAATTTGGTATAAATATATATATATATATATATATATATATATAATATATATATATATATATATATATATATATATATATATATATATATATATATATATATATATATATATATATATATATATATATATATATATATATAAATTAATCTTACAAGGGTTGTCAAACTTATTCTTACAAAGATGTAAACCTTTTTTAAAACTTTCTTTACATTGTGTCACATTCTTTTTTTATACTAAGCCAATGTTTCTGGCATAATTTTTTTTTCAATTATATTTTTTAACGCATGTGCCAATTTATTTGTTATCAAGTTTACGATCTTTTCCCTCCCTATAATGGTGCTAATTTCAAGAGAGGAATCTCTACTATGATGAGTACTGGATCCTTTTGACAGCGCATTATTTTTGCCACATAGGTAATCTTACCAATAGCTAATAGGTAGTGACTTCCTATTATGTTTATTAAATAAGCTTAGGCAACCGTATAGCTAAGATACCTGCATAGACTTTTGTTCAAATTATCATACAAATAAGTGTTTAGAGACTCTTTCTTGCTATTATCTCGTATTCAATGGCTGCCGTGTATTTCGTGCAAACACACACAAATGAGCATTTATACTACTATTATGTTCAGCAATAATATATAGTCATGGTTGTATAATTATTTCAAAAAAACAAATTTTATTTTTTTTATTTTTTATTGTTTAATATAAAAAAGAAAAACTTGTTTTCTTTGTTTATTTTTGTTGACTTTAATTTTATTTTTTTATTAGAAAATTTTCAAATTAATGAACAAAACAGCCCTTATATCAATTCAACATTTCAAGTAACTCCAATTGAAAATAATGAGTTGAATATTACTTTTGCGTGGCCAACTATATGGGCAATTAACTCCTTTATTCAAAGCATATATTTGATTACTATTACTGTAGTAACAACAAGCTCTTCTAACACAGGCGTACTAGGTTTAGTAAGTTGTTTCCTTCTAATATACATTTTTTTTTGTTCTCTTAACCTTCTTTTAAAAAGGTGTTTAAAAATTATATTTTTATTTTTTAGATAATCTTACATAAATATATCATGATGAACATTTTATATTTACAGGTCTAGGTCTACATGAAAAAAATAATTTATTACCATTTTTAATAGTCAAAAGATTGTTTGGTGAAAGTACAGAAAAATTCTCACACTGATTGTTTAATTTTTTTTTTTAATTCATTTGTAAATTTCATTATAAACAGCTATTAATACATTCTATAACAGTTATTAATACATTCTAAAACAGTTATTAATAAATTCTAAAACAGTTATTAATACATTCTAAAACAGTTATTAATACATTCTAAAACAGTTATTAATACATTCTAATATAATTCTTATAGCAGAATAACTGAACAATAGATTTTTAAATTCTTTTTTTTTTAATTACAAATTCACTCTCAACAAGGCTGCAAGCAACCACTATTTAATTTGGCATTTAACAGAAAATAAGGTAGATTAAATTAGTAAAAAACATTTCATTATAAAAAGAAATAATGAAACCATGGAAACCATAGAGCAGGTATTTTTATAAATTTGACAACTTCATGAAACTGGCAGTTTATATGGCTGCAAGAATCCATTCATGGATAGAGTCTATAACAGCCAGTAATTTTTATTTCCTTAAAGTAAGAAAGAAAAATATAAAGGTGTTATCTAGCAGAAACACAAAAATCAAGTGATTTTGCAAATTCATTAGATCAAGGAGGTAGTACTACAACTGGCAATGTAGCTAGAAGTCTTCTGGAACTCAAAACAATGTGAAGATATTGTATTTATAAATGAGCTATTATGCAATGAACATAAGCATAAAATAACATAAATCACAACAGCGTACTAGATATTTTAATTAAATTGTTAGCTTTCAATAAGTTTGAAATTTCAAAAATAAAAAAAAAGTTAATGAATTTTTTTTTTCATTGTTATATGCATATAGAAATAATAACATAACATATTATAAAAAAATAAAAGTGCATATATTGTTGTTTACAAAAAAAATAAACAGAAAATTTGGCATTATTTGTATATATTTAACCGAATAAATTAAAAAACTGAACAGATGTAATTAAAGATTTGTGATTTTGCTTTAAATTTCATATTGACATTAAAAATAATATATATATATATATATATATATATATATATATATATATATATATATATATATATATATATATATATAATTATATATATATATTTAAGTAAAATAACAATTGATTAGTAGAGTTTTTGTTTTTAAAAAAAAAGTTAAAATATTTTATGAAAAGGTGATAACCAATCCCCTCTATGCTGAAAGGTCATTTAATAAAATGTCCAAATGTGCTCTTTTTCCATCTATATGATCTTTAAAGGCATTTACGGATTAAGCCGTGATTGCATTCGGCGCATGTGCGTTCCAAGGGTTTACTACTCTGTTAGTGAAAAAATGAGCTCTTTCTTCACAATTATTAACGTTTTGTCTTTCCAATCGTTTGTTATGGCCACGTAAATTGTACGTTGATAGAGATAGTGCAAGTTGTTGTTTATGAAAAAACAAAACTGCTTCGAAACCGTTTTGTATTCTGAAGTTTTGAATGAGATCTCCCCTTGTCCTAGTGGGTTTCTAGTATTGTAATACCGAGTTTCTGAAGACGAGTTTTGTACGAATCATTCTTGATTTCTGTGATGAGTTAAGTTGCCCTGTGCTGAACTTGTTTGAGTTTTTCGATATCTTTCCTGAGATGGGGAGACCACGGTTGAATTGCGAATTCCAAGTGTGGTCTCACGTACGTTGTGTATAGGGTTTTCCATAGTACTAACTCTCGACTGCGGAAAGCTTTTTTGAGTCTACCTAACATGCTGTTAGCCTTTGCTGAAGCTGATTTGACTTGTTGACAAACTTTCAAGTCGTCGGATACTAGAACTCCTAAGTCTCGCTCAAGTGTAGTTGTTTCTAGATTATGTACGATTCCATTTCTGCCTGTCATTGTATACAGTTGTGTAGATTTATTTTTAGCTTTTCCAACATGCATTACTTTGCATTTATCTAGATTTAGACTCATTTGCCACTCGTGTGACCAGGCTACTGTGCTATCTATGTCTGTTTGTAAAGATTTTACATCATCATCATTATCGATAACTCTTATGATTTTGCTGTCATATGGCCACGGCATAGATTTTGATATGCTTTTGTAGGTTGTCCGGCATAGATTTTGATATGCTTTTGTAGGTTGTCCGGCAAATCGTTTATGTAAATAATAAATAATAAAGGGCCTAGTAAACACCCTTGCGGAACTCCACTAGTGAGTTCTTTCCATTCTGACTCTGCTCCGTCAATGACAACTCTTTGTTGGCGATTTGAAAGCCACGCCTCTATCCATTTTAAAAGAGCTCCGCGAATGCTGTATGCTTGTAATTTATCAAGCAGTCTTCTATGAGAAACTATATCAAAAGCCTTGGCGAAGTCTGTGTAGATGACATCTACTGCACTGCCCTGGTGAACTGATTCGTTTAAGATGTCTCGAGTTTCAAGAAGGTTCGATGTACATTCTTTCTTTTTGAGGTAACCATGCTGCTCCTTTGTAACGAGATCGTTTGCTATGCAGTGATTCATGATCGTTTCATAAATTGTGCCTTCCATAACTTTGCAGGGCACAGAAGTAAGAGAGACTGGTCGATAGTTTGCGGCCTTTTGCTTACTGTCTTTCTTATGAATAGGTGAAATAATCAACCATTTCCATAAGTCTGGGACGATCCCTTCGTTGAAGGACTTCCGAAAAATTAGAGCCAGTAAACGTGCGAAGGCCTTTGCACAATTACGTAGCACTCGAGGGTGAATACCATCAAAACCCATAGATTTGGATTCTTTAAGACTTTTTCTTATATTTGACTTGGTAATAAAGGAATCGTCTGAATCGCATATAACTTCCGTACGTGCTTCGAAATTTGGTAGCTGATCAAGTGGGTCTGTTGTGAATACTGACTGAAAATAATCATTCAAGATTTAAGCGACTTTGTTTTTGTCGGTAGTTATATTTTCCGATAAGTCTTCCATAGTTCTAATAGTGTCTTTGACCAGCTTTTTATGTTTAACGTAATTGTGTAGCTTTATTGGGTCTGATTTGAAGACATAAGCGATACCCATTTCATAGTCCACTACGGCCTCTCGAACTTCTTTTAAGATCTTTTTACAAGCGAGTTTGTGCTCCAGGCGTATTGAGTCTTTAAGTGATGAACCGGCAGCTAGTAATTTTGGCCATGTGTCTCTTTTGTTATTTACTGCTTCGTTTACTGACTGTGTATTCCACGGCTCTTTCTTTTCCTTCAAAGGCTTTGTCGTACTAGGAATGTATAGCTTAACGGCCTCCTTATATTTTTCGATCAGTATTTTGTAGTTTTCGCGAGTTAAAGACAAACCTACTGTATTCTCCCAGTCATGGGCTGTTATGTATGCCGAGAGCATATCAAAATTTGCTCTACTCCATATGAAACGTGGGTCGGTGAGAGTATCTTGAAGACTAGATTCAGGTAGAGCGTAGGTAACTTTTATCATGCAATGGGCTTGTCCCCTGGGTGTGTGACCCAAAGGTTCGCATTCTTCGAGAAATATAAAACAATCGGGTTCATCTGTAATTATTAAGTCAAAAGTACTTACTGGTCTGACATCTAGAGAATTGCGTTAAGTTGGGAACGTAATCGTCTGAGTAAGATGACATTCGTCCAAACATTTCTGGAATTTGATGTCTGTTTGGTGTTCGTTTAATATGTGAGCAGCAGTAGCAGAGTTACCTCCAGTATCTAATTGTTCATATATTGTGATTAAAATGGCCGTATAAGAGAAAAGATGAGCATTTAAGGCTCTTGAGACTGCGCTTTGCAGCTTTGATTAAGTTGATGATTTGTGCTAGAACGTTATCATCTAGGTCGTGTGGTTGGTATATGCAGCCTACAAGGACCGAATCATTTTGGCATTTAATGATTCTCCATATCTGTTCGATATTTGCCGGTTTTAGTAGAATTTCGATGTTAGTTTCGGATACTGTCAAATTATTTTTGATCTAGATAGCTACTCCGCCTGATCAACCATCTCTATTTCTGATAATAGCCTGATATCCTTCGATGTTTGTGTTCGAATTGTCGTTAAATCATGTCTCCATGAAGAACATGATATTCGGTTTATTATTTGTTATTTCTGATTGAATTCGTGCTGTCAATTCGTCCTTTTTTGAACCATTTAGTGAGCAAGGATTGTGTGCCCAGAAGTGCAATTTATTTACGGATTCTTGGTGAATTGTGGGTTGTGGATTCGACTGTTTAGCTTTCCATTTTTGTGTGTTGTTGGCTTTGAGTTAATTTGTTTTGGGCTTCTTCCTCGATTGAAATGATGCCGAATCTATTGGTGGTGACAGCGGGGGTTTGGAATTTTTGTAATTCTTGAAACTATTTGAGATCGGCTCTGATCTGACTAAGTTGTGGCTTTGAGGCCCAGATGCATTTTTTTTGGTTCGCTGACTCGCCTGCATCAATGCATCTGACTTCTTTAGTGCGTCTGTGGAAGATCCAATGAAAGGGCTTAATAGATTGAGCGGCAATTTTGTTGAATTCCTCGTTTTTACGTTTTTTGGTTGCTAACAGTTTATTAAATTCCAACTGCTCAGCTGGTGTTCTGTCTTCTCTGATGAAGACGTCTTTAAATTTAGAAATATAATGATAGTTACGATAGTTACCGTTTTTTAAGGCTTCCTTCTGATATTCAGACGGTTTGAAAACGACTTTGACAATTCTGATTTGTTTTTTTGCGGAAGAGTCCACGTTTGTTTGGGTTCTGTTTTTGAAATGTTGAATATGTACGACGTTACTACTATCAATTTTAATCCTGTTAAGGAATTCATTAACGATTTCTGAATCCTCTTGCTCAGTAGATTTTTCTAAATCCTAAATTTTTTTAAACCT